AGTGAAGCAACGTCCTCCACAACTAGACTGAAGAACAAAAGGACAGCAACTTGTCTGTTCCCCTTCCCCCAATTCCCCAGCGCTGTTCCCATCTCCCAATTTCCAATAAAAATCTTTTAAATAAAAGAAAAAAGAAATCAAATTAAGCTTTCCCAAGACTTTTTACAGCAACATTAACAGTTAGAGGTCAATGAATCAGAGTCCACAAAATTCTAAGGGAAAGAAGTATCCCAGGACTTCAGGCTCCCAGCTCAGACCAGCAGCATGGCTGCCCTGCAACGCCTCTTCACAGGTGGTGCTGACACGCCAATGAAGTGAAGCACTGTGGGCCTAGAAGAGGACAGCCAGCCCAGCCGGCCGGCCGGCAGGTTGCACCTGGCAGCCAGCGCCCAGGCCCCCAGGCCGAAAGCCACACACCCCGGCAGAGAGATGGCTGAGCAACTGAGCAGGGCTTTTGGGAGACAGCAGTCCCAAGGGGACAAAACCTGGATATCGCAGTGCAGTTCCAGACTAGTGCAAAAAAGTGAGCTTCACAATTAAGCGAGAAGTAACCTTTTTACTGGTGGAGGGTTGGGCCCTCCATTTGTAAAAATCACAACACCCGTGAAGCGCCATACAGCAAGGAGTGCCAGTAATACAGCTCACTTGGTAAGGCTGTGGGTTTAGGGTTCCTGGATTTAGCTACTAAAAACACGGGACACAATTTGGGGACAGACACTAAAAAAATGATTCATGGTTGATCGGAAATTCACATTTAAATGAGTGCCCTGGATTTTATCTGGCAATCCTACGGGGTAGGGATCTTTCGAGAAAAAAGCCATCCTGGTGGGAACAGGAGCCCCAGTTGAAACCCCTCAGTCCCTGGCTGCCTTGGTGACACGCATGCATGACTTGGTAGATTATTGTGACAATATGGGCGGCTACCCCAGTAAGGTTCTAAAAATCCCGTTGTCTGCAACAGCAGTGTTCAAACTTGCTTTCTTGCTTGCACATCTCTTTTAAAAATGCAAAACTATGTACTTCTGTGCACACTTTAAACTTGACAGCTAACATTTTTCATAACAACTTTAAATAGTTGCAAAGGATCAAATTTGTGGTATACTGATGACATTTTAAAATAAAACTTACTTTACCAGTGGAGTACAAATGCCATAACAATCTGAAACCCATCATTGCCAGCCTCGGTCCTCAGCCATCTACTGCTCATGCAAAGGCCCGTGAACAGAGTGGCCATAGTAGCAGGGATGGTGGTAACACATAGGCCCAACTGCCTGAGCCCCTCTAATCAAGGCCAGCCTAGACCCGACACCACCCTGCCAGAAAACCTTCTCTATACCACCTCCCAGGTTCTGGCCATGACATGGACAGACCACCAGAAACAGGAGGTGACCAGGGGCGGGGAGATGCTCTCTGGCTGGACTTCATGGAACTGAGCACAGTGCAGGTTTCTGTGCGTCCTCACTGCTGAGAGGACTATGGGTTAGCCAATGACAGGGGCCCACGCACATCCTCGACCTTGGTGTGCCCAGCCATGAGCAGAGCAGTCTTATCCAACACCTTCCCTTGTGAAGGGGACACCGTTTATTCTGGCTGCAGTTGAGGTTCCTCCTGGACCGGCCACTTATGCTGGAGCCGACATCTGCACAGACCCGCTAAGCCCCGTGTGCTACTCCTGGCACCACCTTGCCTCTGAGCTGGGAACCCCCCTTGGAGTGGAAAGAGGAAATGCAGCCAGGCCACCTGGCTTGTGCTTGTGGGGGGTGGGGGGTGGGGGTGCTTTATCCTGTGGTACCAGGGTTTTATCCTAGGGTAAGGACACAGCCCAGAAGAGACCAACTTGCATATAAGACTTGAGACTGGCTGCTCTGTGGAGAACAGACTAAGCAAAAAGGAGGCAGGCCAGCTGAGAGCAGGCTGGGTCGGGAGGGAAAAGACGGGGAGCCAGGGCAGAAGCAGAGGTGGGTAGAGAAACCAAGAACACATTGAGCGCCGTGGGGGTGGGAGCTTGGGCACAGGGTCACTGACAGTAGTCGCGGGAGACGGACCCTGGTGGACACGGGGATGGCACGTTTGCATTTGGGTGTGTTGTGGACTTTGAGGACACCCAGGAGGGGCCAGGGTGGCAGCTGAGTCTGGGCTTGGGGTGCAGGAGGAAGGATATAGCTCTGCAGGCCCCTGCCAAGAGGCCACAATGGAGGCTGTGTTGAGATGACAGTGGGCACTGACCCCTGGCACGGGCGCCCAGGAAGGAGCAGGAGAGATAAGTGGGTGGCGGGGCACTGAGTTGGTGCCACGCCCAACTGTCCCGGGGATGCCCGCTGAGGAGCAGCCTGCCCGCTCCGAGGTTGGCTCCTGCCACCGGAGGGCGACAGCACGCAGAGCGGACAACCAGGTGTGCTGGCGGGAGGAGGGCGGCTGGAGGTGTGAGAAGGGACTCCCTGAGAGGCCGCGCCCCTGGGAGGCGGGCACGGTGCTGCCCCCCGCCAGCCGCACCGGGAAAGCACGGGGTCGGGGAGAGACTTGCCACTCTGCGCTTCCCACAGGCCCGCCCCGCGAGCACGCGCAAACGCGCTCGCCTGCACACATGCACACCACGCGTGACCCGGCCCAGGACAGCCCGCTTCCCACGAGACGGCGGCGGCGAGGGTGCAGGCTCTCACCAGCTGGGTCCTCTGGACACGCGGGGGGGCGCGGGCCCCTTTGCCTGCGGGCGGGTCTTCATCTGTACCTGGCGGCTGTCTCCCGGCTTCCCTGGGGAGGGGGAGGGCAGTGAGATGGGTGTGGACCCACCCCTTCCCCCAACCTCAGGAAGCGTTTATGGGCCACCTGGAGGGCAGCTGCGTCCTGGCTGTTTAGGGAGCCCCCAGCCGCGGGACAGCTTTAACGAGCGGCCAGGTCGCGTCCTCCACAGCAATACAGAGCACACATTGCCGCAGGGGCGCTGCCAGGCTGAGCGCGCTGCACCTGGGTCCCAAAGCCCCGGAATCGGGTGAGCCAGGTGTGCTGAGGCCCCTCGCAGGCGTCCCGCGTCCCCCACCCCCACCCCACCTGTGCCACTTCCCTCTAGAAGCCCTACGCCTTTCTCCCTTTCTGTGCGTCCATCGGGCTCCCCAGACTGTGGCAGGAGGCCTCCAGGGTAAAGGCTGAGCAGGAGGGGTGCACAGGGCAGGGCTGGGCCAGGCAAACCAGTCCAGCCAGTGTGGCTGGGACGGGGCCCTGGGCGTGGGTGTGAGTCATCGGCCTCAGGCTGGGGAAACGCTGGGGTGGAGGCTGTTTGGAGCCTCCTCCCAACAGGAAGCCCAGGGGACGCCAGCACTCAGGCTGGCCCTGCGTCCCCCCAGCCCCCCGCCGCACCCCAGGATCCAAAATATGGCTTGGTGGGGGCTCCTCATGCCTGCGTTTCTGTGGGCAGGGCAGGGGAACCCCAGCCAGGATGAGTTCCAGAGCCCCAGCCGCACCCCAGATCAGGCTGGACTCTTCCTTGCTGCCCGTGTCAGGCCACAAGATGGAGCCTTTCAAGACCCGGTCTCTTCCACCAGCCCCCAGCACAGCCCGGCCCCCAGCAGGAGTGCCCGGCTGGGCCAGTGGCATCATCTCCACAGAGATGGTGCTTGCGGGCTCCTCTGAGCATGCTGGCGGAGTGGTTGGTGCTCAGTGTGTGACCTGGGGCCAGGGTCTCCCTCGGTAGTTGGGTTGGGATTGTGTGTGTGGCCAGTGAAGGTCTTATCAGGATGGTCAGTGCGGCTGGGGATGCAGCTCCTGGCCCTGTGGGCTGGAGTTTGAGTTCTGGAGGCCAAGGGTGGGACGAGGCTGCAGGGGGGTGGTGGGTAGGGGCACCGGTGCCAGCCCAGGGCAGGACCAGACTCGTCCTACACACAGCCGGCGGTCTGGCTGCTGAGAGCCACCTCCTCCAGTTTCTCCCAGTCTGCCCAACGAGGCCTGTGGCCCGTAAAGTCCTGCGCCCTGTGTCAGCACGTTAGTCAGCCTTCGTGCTGGGTGAGCCACCGCGCCAGCGAGTCCCTATAAACTCCCCGAAGTGGCCCGGCCCGCCGAGTGGGGCCCGTGAGGCCCACGGGCAGAGCCAGGGCCCGGAGCCTCGGCGCTGTTGGTACCAGCCAAGGGGCAGGGCAGGCACGAGGGGCCGCAGCAGCAGAGGGCCCACCGTGGCCGCTGGGGATGCCCTCTGGGCCCGGCTGATCGAGGCCGGCCAGCGGATGAGCCAGGGCCCCTGGGGAGCAGACACCTGGTGGAAGAGGTGGCGGATCGGGGCCATGTCTGGGAAACGGAGTCGAGCGAGGAAACCCCGAGCCAGGAGGGCGGGCAGGGTGCGGCAGTCCACGGGCCAGCAAGGCCCCAAGGCTGAGCCCCCGCCCCCGGACGCAGGGGGCCCTGAGGATGCGGCGGGGGTGGCCCCTGAGGGGCACGTGACCTGCGGCAAGCCGGCTCCCCAGGGACATCCCAGGGTGGCCAGGCCAGAGCAGCCACAGGCAGAGGAGAGGCCAGTGCAGGCTGCCAACCTGGGGTCTGAGCTGGTGCGAGTCCCCACTGCAGACATGGAAGGCTGCGGGCCAGGGGGTCTTGTGCCCAGCCTAGGCCCCGAGCTGCTGAAGCTCCACGAAGTCCAGCTGTGCCTGGCCCAGGAGCAGCTGCTGCTGGAGGACCGGCGGCGGCAGTCACAGCTGCACGTGCAGCTGTGGCGGGAGCAGCAATGGCAGGAGGAGCAGCTGTGGCGGGAGCAGCAATGGCAGGAGGAGCAGCTGTGGCTGCAGCAGCTGCAGGAGCAGCAGGCCTGGGTGCGCATGGAGGGGCTGGAGCTGGCCATGGCCCTGGAGCAGCTCCGGAGCCAGGGCCTGGAGGTGCTGCAGACCCAAGGCCAGGTAAGGCCTGAGGAACGGGGGTGGGGGAGGCTGCAACCATCTGGGGGGTGTGGTGACCGCAAGCAATGTACAGGTAACCTGCAGGGCCAGGAGGCCAATGGATTGGGCGCTGCGGCCAGGCTGGACGTGGGACACCCGTGGGCCCATTTTCACATCTGCAAAGCGAGGCTGGTGCCCACCGCACAGGGTACCACAAGGACCACACGACAGCCCATCTGTCAGGCCAATGCTTGGCAGGCAGAGGGTGCCTAGGCAGGGTGCTTGTACAGGGAAGCTGAGGTGCTCCTGCACAGGCCCCAGGTGTGTGCAGGGCAGTGTTTGGGGCCGGGGAGGTGGGGGACAGGGCGACGGCCTAGGTGACAGTCAGCAGGTACAGCACAGAGGCGCACGCCCCCCAGCACAGATTGCTGGCCGACGTCCTGGCTCCCTCTGCTTGATGGCGGAAGCCCGCAGCGCCTGCAGCCATCATCCTCATTCCAGGAGGGCTGCTGCCTCAGACGCGGCTGGGGCTATTTTTGGGAACCAGTGCCTAACCCTGGCTTGGCAATGAAGAGCGGTCACCACCGTCTCGCCAGGTCCTGTGACCTGGGAGTCCTCTGGGGTCCAGGGGCTGGAGAAGGCCCACTCCAAGCAGAGGGGCTGCCTCTGGAGAACAGGGTGGGGTGCTGTCTTAGCAGCAAGGACCCAGTGCAGGCCTGGGTGCTGAAGAAACCCAGAGTCACAGCTTGTAAGGGCTTAGCATCTTAGAAGGGAACTCTGATGAGGGCCATGACAGAGAAGAAATGGGACTCAGAGAAGGGGAGTGACAACGGGTGAGGGTGGGCATGGCAGGAGGTACCCCTCCTGATCCCCAGCAGGACTGAACCAAGGACAAGCTGTCACCACTAAGCCTGAAAGTGGCTCTAGAGAGGATGGCTTGAGAGAGCAGCAGCAGGCGGGAAAGAGCACAGGATGGCCCAGGTGGGGCAGAGGGTCAGAGCAGACCACAGACTTAGCCTGAAAATCCCCAACATGGATTTAAGCCCTGCTGCATTTCAGAGTCTGCTTCCCATCTCCATGTGTTCTAAAACTGCGCTCTGAACACTGTCCTTGGGCTGCTGACGCCAGACCCGGGGGTATAAGCCTCAGGGTCAGGGTCTGGAATGGACACCTCACGGGAGGGGAGGGTTTTCTCAGAGGCAGTGTCCCAGGTGGCCGCAGAGGTGTCACAAGTTAGTGTTAGAGTGGGAGTGCCCTGGAGGTGGAGGGTGTCCTCACTCACCAGCTGCGGCCCTTGGCTTGGCTCTAGGGAGGGATGTCTGCCACTTCCCTGATGCGGAATGGGGTCCCCCTTTCTTACTGCTCATTCTCCTGGAGGCAGGGTAAGAGGTAAGAGGGAGGGTGTGGTCAGAGTGGCAGAGGCAGTGGGGAACGGCAGGTACCAAAGGGGGACGCAGGATCACGGACGCCCCAACACAGTGTCCAGCTGGCTTCCTGGCTGCCCACCGCCCCTAGTTATTGGCGTGTGTGCAGCAGCTTGAGTGGGACCGCTCAGCAAGAGCATCTGGCCACAGCTTGTCCCCCTCGTCCTCGCTCACCTGCCCCTGCCACCTGCCATCCCTGCTCGCCCATCCTCTGGTTCCAGGCCCTGACCGCAACCCCCAGAGTGGGGTGTCCAGTACCATCCTGATCCAAACCACTGGGCTGCCAGCCTAAGGTACAAGCTGGACCCCAGTCCCACTCCACTGAAGTCTCGTGCTTCCCCATGCCCTCTGCCCCCACTCCGCACCCCAAAGCTCCCTGGTTCTGGCCTTGGCAGGTGTTGTTGTCAGGGCCTGGAAGCCACACCCCTCTCCCTAGCCCACTTGGCTGACCCCAGTGTCCCTGGGAGGCCTCCCCTGCTCCAGACTGGGTCAGGGTCCCCTCACCTTCCCTGCTGCCAGGCAACCCACTGCAGTGCCATTGCCCGCGCACTGGTCTGACCTCACGCCGGGCTCCCACCATGATGGCACTGGGGTAGGGTTTCTGAGTGTTTGTGGAGGAAACTAATGAGACAGAATGACCCTCAAAACTGAGAAAACAGGATCCTGTGGGAAGAGGGATGAGGAGGAATGTGACTGNGACAGGTGCGTTTCCTTGTGGCCTGGTGTCACTTGGAGCAGGTGGGTCCAGACCTGGGGCTTAGGGGGAGCCCTTGTGGGATGTGGAGTGGTCTGGCCACCAGAGGCCAGCAGTTGGGCCCTTGGAGCCTCCTGTCTGTGTCCCCCATGTGCTGAATAAGACAGCCCCTCAAATGTGATTCTGCATATTTTGGTGTGAACAATAAAACACGAGCAATAAAATATGAAATATTCCAACAAGTCTCCAAATGTATCTAGTCACCTCACTGTGTAGTGCACAAGAGCAGTAGATACCTCCCCACCTGTACTGCCAACACCTCTACTCGAATCTTCTAACCCGACACAGACCCCTTCCCGGGACAGCCCCACTTCACAGCCACATGCAGCCAGTCCACTGTGTAGGCACACCCCACGGGCACTCCCCTGGAGGGCCCTGGTCACCAAGCCCAGCAGCCACTTCCCAGCCTCACCTGGCAGCTCTCGTCCACCTGAGTCCTCGCCTGCCCCTGGGTGCCAAGTGGCCACTCCCCAGTTGTCAGCCTCCCGTCACAGGGGCAGGGTTGGACTTCCCTGCTGCTTTCTGGGTGGTGACATCCATTCCCAGTCTCCTGTCCCCCTTGTCCATCACCTAGGGGCTGTGCCTTAGGCTCTAGGAACCCCACAAACTGCCCTGTCTCACGACTGGCTCATGTTCATGCAGAATGAGGCCCTCGTCCCTGGTCCCCCTCTTTCCTCAGCCTCCTCCCAAGCCCTGCTCGGTCTGGGCCCACCGCTGCCCAGCTCCTCTCGCCCATGCCTCACCCTTCCCGCCTGTCCCCCCTGCTGACAGCGGCCTTTTCAGGAGGGCTGAGCGCCCTGCCCCTGGCAGCACGACCACATCCCTTAGGTTGTAAACTCCTTGTGTTCTGGCCCAGGGTCAGGTGCGGTGCGGGCACCCTGGGACAACACACAGCTCGGTGCCTACTGGGCCCGTTGGATCTCCTTGGCCCCCATGCCCTGGACTGGACTCACACTAGGTCCTTCGCCTGGTGGTGAGCAGAGGAGGGAGCCTTNTGGTGGGTGGATGGGACACTGGCCCTGACAGCCGCTAACTCCCCGGGGTGCCCGAACCCCCTTCGATCCTGCGGTGCGCATCCCGAAAACGACAACACTTTTACTTCCAGTCCATGAACGGAATCCCACCCTCATCCACCTCCCCGCCCCTGATGCCTCTTCTGTTGGGGAACCTCCTGCCCCCCACCACCCCTGTACTTGGGACAGGGTCCCCGCCCTTGTAATTAGCCCAGATCCCTCCCTCGGATCCTCCAGTCACTTAGAAACCCCATCTGCTGCACGGGTGGGAAGGGCCCGCCGCCTGGAAGTCCCTGGTTGTGAGCCCCCTGGAACCCTAAGTCCCTGGACGCGCTGTCTGACTTGTGTCAGAGGTCAGAGGTCAGCACTGAGGAGCGGGCTCCTGCTGAGTCATTGACCTGGGTGGGAAAGGTGCCCCTCCCTCCCGCACAGCAGGCTTGGGAGGCAGATGTGTGGGGAGGCACGTTATTGGGGTGCCCCACGGTGGGCTGGGGGAATGGCTACGGCTCAGTCCACAGTTCAGGGCTGTGCAGACCCATAAAAGGAAGCTGGCCAAGGAATGACTAGGTGATGGAGGTCGTGGTATTGCTGTCTGAGTGAGCAGGGCCACCTGTCGCCCTTCCTGACCAGCCCTGTGTGACCAGAAGACTCCTCACCCACCATGGGATCCCCCAACCCCCACTGCATGCAACCTGGACAGTTTGTGTTGGATTCCCTCACCAGTGAAGTCGGAGGGGACAGTACCCTTCCTATTGTGTCACCCCCAACGGAAAGTGCCCCCAAGCCCTACATAGTCAGACACTGACCCTGTGTAGCCAAATACCACAGTGCCCTTCTCATCAGATACAGTGCGAGACCCCCACTGTGGTCAGATACAGAGCGAGACCCTGGTCCAGTCAGACAGTACTCTCGTCCCCTCCCCACTCCCTGTGAGGTATTCCTCAGTCTGGCCCTGTATGGTGAGGTTGGTCTGGCCACTCCATATGTAATCAGGTGCAGTCAGGACAGTGCCCCCACAAAGGAATGTCAGAACAGCTTTTCCTGGGACCAGGTAGCACCTCTGCCTGATGCAGACTGAATGGCACATGGGAATCCCACACCTCCCATTCACATGTCACATTTCAGTTAGCCTGTCACCCCCCAGGGAAAGTGGACAGGAAGGGTTCTCCAGGTCATCACACACCACAGAGCCCTGACCCCCTCCAGTCAGCACCACCCAGCTGCATCTGGGGAGGGGGTGTGCTGTGGCGAGTCTGGCAGGACCACTTCTCCCAGCCCCAGTAGCAGCTGCCAGGGTGAGCAGTGCCTGGGGCTCTGTTTCCGGGTAGGAGGACAGGTCCAGGTAGTTAAGGGAGCTCAGTAGAAGCCCCCGCCTCCCAGGGCCAGTGACCTGCTTCCTAGGCAGGCCTGTGGGAGGTGTGTGAGGTTGGGGCAAGTGGTGAGGGTAGAGGCCCATTCAGAGCCCAGGACATCCCGACACCACAGCACAGGGTTCTGATTCCTACCTGAACATGGCAGGGAGCAGGCGGTAACAATTAGACTTGGAAAGATCACAGCTGCCACACAGGGCAGGGCTTGGCTGGGACAGGACACTAAGCTCAGCTCTTGGAGAGCAAGGAGCTACAGCCCCAGCGGGCTCTGCAAGGGTGTGAAGTCTGGCTGCGGGGAGGGGCAGGGTTAGAGGGCTATGGGTGGGGCTTAACTGTCCCTGGCTGGACAAAAGCAGTGACCTGCACTCTGTACTATCAAGCTGTGGTATCAGATCAACCCTGACAGCTGCACATTACAGTGGAGATAAGGAGCCAGAGAGGTACCGTGAGTAGCCCAGGGGCCTCACACGAGGGACAGACACACAGGCAGTGGGCTACTCGTCTAGTACGTACAGTGCCAGGGGCCTGCCCACAAACATGATTTGTCATGAAATCAGAAGAAAAATGTGAATATAATAAAGAATCCAGGATTATGTTTTCTTTATACCAATAGTCATAAATATCATTAACACTTTTATGGTGGAAAGGGCCCACAAAGCAGAAGGGCCTGGGGTCACTGAGGCTATAACGTAACCCTGCGTGGGGGTCGCATGGAGCCAGAGCCCTCCCTGGGTCCTGGTGAGAACAGAAGCCCAGCCGGCAGGGCCAGAGCAGCGCCAGAGCAGCGGGAGACAAGGTACTCTGCTGATGTCTCCTAGCTGGAGGGCATCCTAGGGCCTGGGGGTGCCTCCAGGCATGGGCTGAACTCCATAGCCCACCCAAGGTTACTGACAGCCTTTCCACAATGGACATCCACATGTAAGCATGGGCAGAGTGGGCTCAGTGCCCTGCCCCGGTAATGTGTCTCCCTGCCCTTTCCCCAGGCCCCTGGCCCCAACATGGCCCGTCGCTCCCAGAGCTCCTCGCAGGGGGACAACCCACTGGCACCCGGGTACCTGCCACCTCACTACAAAGAGTACTACCGCCTGGCAGTGGATGCACTGGCCGAGGGCGGGCCAGAGGCCTACAACCGCTTTCTGGCATCCGAAGGGGCACCTGCCTTCCTGTGCTCTGAGGAACTAGAGCATGTGAGCCGTCACCTGCGGCCCCCGCAGCATGCTGCCCAGGAGCCCCCAGAAGGCAGCCCTGCCAATGTGGACATGGATGGCTCCTCGGGCACCTACTGGCCCATGAACTCAGACCAGGCGGTGCCTGAGCTCGACCTGGGCTGGCCCCTGACCTTCGGCTTCCAGGGCACTGAGGTCACCACCCTGGTACAGCCACCACCGCCTGACAGCCCCAGCATCAAGGATGAAGCTCGAAGGATGATCCGCTCTGCCCAGCAGGTGTGCCGTCATGGGCTGGGTGGGCTGTGGGGAAGGACAGCCTGAGCTGGACCGTGAAGAATCAGTGTAAACGCGAAGGAGGAATATGAGCGTGCCAGCATAGGGGCCAGGGCAAGGCCAGCTGCAGCGAGGTCTCCCTTGCAGACTTCCAGGGCCACCAAGGGTTTGGTAACTGCAGGCCGCAAGCTGCAGACCACAGGTGTGCTTGCCCATGGTCATGGCCACTGTGCAGAAATGGGTGCTGGGATGGTTAGGCCCCCTCGTGGCCTGAATTGATGGTTCCTAGAATTCTCTCTAGTCTTGCCCTCGATGCAGCTGAGGGCTCCTTACCCTCCTCCCACCAAGCAGTTGGCAAACAGCAAAGGGACCTGCTCAACTGTGGAGACTGAGGCAAGGCAGCAGGGCCAGATGCTAAAGATTCCTCCCTGTGCCCTCTGCCCTGATACTTGCCCAGGGGTTGGGGGAGCTCAGATACCTGTGGAGTGGGTGGGATCCCAGGGACTTCTGCCCCATCCGGGGCTCTGCCCAGGGGTTAGCACCCACCCCCTGTTGAAAGGACAGCCCCTCCCTTCTTCTTGACCCCATTCCCTAACAGCTCCATTTTCCCCTGGGATGGGCTGGTGGCCATTTTGCAGTGTTTTGGGGGGTGATCCAGGGGCCCCCTGGGCCAAAAGCTATGGCTAGAGCATGGTAAGGACAGCAGAGGGATCTGCCCTTTGTCCCTGGCCCAACTCCTGCAGGTGGTGGCAGTGGTGATGGACATGTTCACCGATGTGGACCTGCTCAGTGAAGTGCTGGAGGCCGCAGCCCGCCGCGTCCCGGTCTACATCCTCCTGGATGAGATGAACGCGCAGCACTTTCTAGACATGGCCGAGAAGTGCCGGATCAATCTGCACCACGTGGATGTGAGTGAGGCGGAGGCAAGGTGTAGGGAAGGGGGGAAGACGCCTCCACAGGGTCCTGACCACTCTCCCTCCCCAGTTCTTGCGCGTGCGCACTGTGGCAGGCCCCACCTACTACTGCCGAACTGGGAAGTCCTTCAAGGGCCATGTGAAAGAGAAGTTCCTCCTGGTGGACTGTGCTGTGGTGATGAGTGGGAGCTACAGGTGCGCCCAGCCCCATTGCCCCGCAACCCCAACGCCTCCCCATGTGAGGGCCTCCTCTCCAGAACCCCTGGTCCTCTAGCTCCTGTCACAGCCCCACCTGGCCCTACCCCGCCTCACTGGGTGCCAGTCACACCATCTACCCCCCTCCCTGACTCTGGCCCCACCCCACCCCCAGCTTCATGTGGTCCTTCGAGAAGATCCACCGCAGCCTGGCGCACGTGTTCCAGGGCGAGCTGGTCTCCAGCTTCGATGAGGAGTTCCGCATCCTCTTCGCACAGTCAGAGCCACTGGTGCCCTCAGCTGGGGTGCTGGCACGCATGGATGCTTACGCCCTGGCTCCATACGCGGGGGCTGGGCCCCTCATGGTCAGCCAGGTGCCCGGGGCCCCTTTCTCCTTCCCTAAACGAGCGCACTTCATGTTCCCACCGCCTCGGGAAGAGGGCCTGGGCTTCCCTTCCTTCCTCGACCCCGACCGCCACTTCCTGTCAGCCTTCCGGCGGGAGGAGCCACCACGGATGCCTGGGGGTGCCCTGGAGCCACACACAGGGCTGCGGCCACTGTCAAGACGGCTAGACGCTGAGGCTGGTCCAGGCGGGGAGCTCGCGGGCCAGCGGGGCTTCTTCCAGGCACGACACCTGGAGATGGACGCCTTCAAGCGGCACAGCTACGCGGCTGCCGATGGCACTGGCGCGGTGGAAAACTTCGCGGCCGCACGGCAGGTGTCACGGCAGACGTTCCTCAGCCATGGTGATGACTTCCGCTTTCAGACCAGCCACTTCCACCGGGACCAGCTCTACCAGCAGCATTACCAGTGGGACCCACAGCTTGCACCGACGCGCCAACAGGGCTTGTTCGAGAAGCTGCGCGCTGGCCGCCCTGGGTTTGCTGACCCCGATGACTTTGCCTTAGGCGCCGGGCCACGCTTCCCCGAGCTGGGCCTGGATGGACACCAGCGGCTGGACTACGTGCCGTCCAGCTCATCACGTGAAGTGCGCCACGGCTCAGACCCCGCCTT